GCCCTTCACGTACAACATTGTTGCCAGTCGATGTGTCGCGTACACAGTTGTTGCGCTGTTATCTGAAGTTAACACCATCTTTCTACATTCCAGGAAACTGCTTCAAATGTCCGTTCTGTTTTGTCGTTCGTTCTTCGTTCGTTCGCTCGTTCGTTCATCATCGTCGTCATTGTTATTATCTATCATGTCCAACAATTTTATTTTTATTGTTTATTTATTACTTTTTCATTTCTCCAGCATAATGCGCTAATGCAGAAAATCACAAACACACATACATACAGACACACACACACACGCAATAAACATGCATATTTAGAAACATACACACACACACATATACAAACATACAAACACGCACAAACACGCACAGAAAGCCAACCTACATAAAAACGTACAAATATACACACACAAAACCAAACAAACATCCATACCTCCATACAGGCACAAATGTCCATTCGACCATTGGATCTACAGGCTGAACGCGCTTTTGAACCTGGTAACTTTCGTCTGCTGTCGATTTCTCTGTAACGCCTGGATCACTTACGGCATGTTGGCGACCCGCCAGCGAGTGTCCATCTTCTACTTCTGGATACTGGCGGCCGCAATGTTCGTCATGTGGGTCACTAACGTCATGCTCTTCTGGAGATTGGTGCAGAGTGACGTCATCAGACCTTACGTGACGTCACGACGGAAGAAAGGGGGAGTCCAGTCTTCTCCAGGGGGCGTGGCTCAGGTTTCGAATAAGGGGAAAGATGATGATGATGATTTATGTAGCGCGGACGATAAGGTTATTGGTGGTTATAGAATTAATAATGTTAGAAACGGTGTTAAAGTCGATGATGAAGTTTCGGGTAGAGTTTTTCAGAGAGATAGTGATGAGGATGGTGAGAGGGAGTTGAGGTGGAGGTTGAGGGGAGAGAGTAATAACCGTCAGGGTGTATTGAAGAGTGGTGGTGGTGGTAGTGATGATGATGATGATGGTGATGATGATGATGATGGTGGTGATAATGATGATTCCAAAATATCCAACCTCATCGACACTTACAACAAAAAAAATTATTCTCATGTCATGAAAAACAAAAACAACAACAACAACAACAATACGCAAAATGGTAATAATAATAATAACGGTGATGATGATAATGATGGCGATAACGACGACGATGATATTAACAATTTACCCATCAATAATAATAATAATAACAATAACAACAAGATCAACAACAACATCTTTGATAATGATGCCAAACGTAGTAATGGGTTTATCAATAATAATAATAATAATAATAATAATAATAATAATAATAATCATCATAATAATCATCATCATAAAAATAATAATAATAGCAAAGGTGTTGATAAGGATGCGAAATCTCATATAAACGGATATCGCAAAAATCAACAACAACAATAACAACAATAATTATAATAACATTAATATAATCAACAACAACACTAATAGTAGTAATAATTGCAACAGCATAAATAATAATTATAATAAGAATAATAATAATAAGAAGAAGAAGAATTTCAACATTCAACAGTAACATCGTCGTCATCACCGTCAATAGCAAGCAGCAGTAACAACGAAACAAAGGAACAATAACATTAATAACGAGGCCTACCATAACAACAAATGCTGGGATTGAAACTAACATTAAGCGTTTATAATAATAATAATAATAATATTAATAATAACAATAATATTAATAATAACGATAACATTAACTATAACAGTATCACCAGCATCAATAACACCAACAGAGTAACAATAATAACAACATGAATAACAATGAGAATAAGAATAACAATATTAATAATAATTCACAACTACACAAATTCATTTATGATCATTCAAGCTTGAAATATAAATCTAAATATTATATATATGTATATATGGATATATATATATATATATATATATATATATATAGTTATATATATATGTATATACATATATATAGAATATATTTTTGTATTACACATACATACACACACACACACACATATATATATAGTGTACTATACATATTAAATTGTATTTCATATTTAGTTTTTTATCATTTACTCATTCACTCATCCGCATGACACGTTGCATATATTTTTTTTTAACGTCATCTGCTTTTTTTGTATTTTTGTGTATTTATTTATGTGCGTGCGTGCGTGTGTGTGTGTGTGTGTTTTTGTATGTATGTGTTTGTATGTGTGTGTGTGTGCGTGTGTGTGTTGCGTAGGTATAAATCACGGCTTCGATCAATCACGCGATTCGTTAAAAACAATCACATAGCGGTATGCGAAGAACGAATTTTTTTATTTAATTAATTAAATATGTTTTATATTGGAGAGAGAGAGAGAGAGAGACTGAGAGAGAGACAGAGAGAGAGAGAGAGAGAGCAGACAAATAAATTAGATATTTAAGTGAATCATTCGTAGAATCTTTCAATATGTAAGAATACATATATATGAATATTTATATTTATGTGTTTTTGTGTACGTGTAAGTGTGCGTGCGTGCTTGCGTGTGTGTGTATACATTTTTTCGGTACATCTGCCTATCGTTATATTTTTCGTTTTTCTTTTGCTTGTTCATTTTACTTAGGTACCTTTCGAATGAATTGATACGTGTTTGTAAGTGTGTATGTTTGTTTGTTTGTTTGTATATATGTATGTATGTATATATGTATGTATGTATGTCTGTACGCATGTATGTTTGTATGTATATATGTAAGTACGCATGTATGTTTGTTTGTATGTATGTTTGTTTGTTGTCTGTATGTATGCATGTATGTATGTCTGTACGCATGTATGTATGTATGTATGTTTGTTTGTTTGTATCGATTTATTTGGATTCTCATATAACCGAATGCAATTTATTATTTTTAAATTATTATACCGTTATCTGTCCAGTGCTATGTTCTTCAGAGTTTTGTTTCTTCAGTTTCTTCTTCCACTCTCCATTTATTTATTCACTCATTCTTTCATTCATTCGTTCATTTTCTTATATCGTTATACATTCATTCATCCATTTAATCATTCGTTCATTTTATAATTCATCCATTCGTTTTATTCAATCATTTCATCATTGTTCAGCCATTTGTTCATCATTTTGTTCATTCGTTTATTCTCTCGTTCGTTCGTTTACTCATTTTTTTTTCATCAACCAT